CGTCCACGTACCCGACGTCAAGCGCGACAAGTTCGACCCGGTGAGCAGGCGTGGAATACTTGTCGGATACGGGAACGGTGGACAGTATCGTGTACTATACGAGGACGGCATTATTGCCGTAGTTTCTAACGTTCGTTTCGATGAATCTAATGTCGGCCGGCGGTGTAATGCCGGGGACTCCGATTATGAGTCCGATGCCGACGAGGAGGAGGAGTTTCGCACTAGTTTATCTGGTGAGGGATCGCTGCCTAGGGCTGGCGAAGGGACACCAGGTAGCACCGTCGGCGAGGGATCGCCGCATTTGGGTGGCGAGGGGGCGCCGGCTGGGGCTGGACCTTCCAGCAGTGCGAACGGGCAAGGAATCAATCAGCCTGATGTGGAAATGGCGGGAACTAGGTACCCAGTTAGAGAGCATAAACGCCCTGGCGAATGGTGGCGAAATGAACCTGGTCGCACTGTTACTGGTCGCGTTAACGCTGCTTTCTCTACTGATATTCCCGAACCGAATTCTTTTGCGGAAGCCATTGCGAGTCCACATGCAGACGACTGGCGGCGTGCGATGGACGAGGAGATCGCCGCCCAGATGGCTAATAGTACTTGGGAGCTGAAGAAGCCACCACCTGGTACTCGTTTGTTGCCGTGTCGGTGGGTTTATAAGGTTAAGTACAGCGATGACGGCAGCGTGGAGCGTTTTAAGGCGTGTTTAGTTGCCAAGGGTTTCGAGCAACGCGAGGGGATTGATTATGGGGAGTTGTTTGCCCCTACCTCTCGTGGTTCGTCATTGCGTGCTTTATTAGCAGTTGCCGCAGCGCGGGACATGACGGTACACCAGCTAGATGTGTCTACTGCGTTTCTGAATGGTGAGCTGAAGGAGGAGTTGTGGATGGAGCAACCACCTGGGTATGCGTCCAGTGACCGGTCGCTTGCGTGCAAGCTGCAGAAATCTATTTACGGTTTGAAGCAGGCACCCCGTTGCTGGTATGAAAAAACTATCAGCAGAGTTTGCCAAGCTGGGTCTTTACCCTTCGAAGTCTGATCCGGCGATGTTTGTTAAGACTGACGAGCGTGGGGTTGTTATTGCTTTGGTGCACGTAGATGATACCATTGTTGCGTCGGAAGACCCGGAAATGGTCCGGGCAATTAAAGCTGCAATTGCGAAGGTCTTCAAGGTGCGCGACCTTGGAGAAGCGAAGGTGTTTTTGGGCATGGAAATTAGGAGGGAGAAGTCGGGTGAGATAGTGTTGTCGCAGCATAGGTATATTGCGCAGCTGTTGGAGCGTCATAGGATGATTGACGCCAAGCCGAGGTCTACCCCTTTGCCTCCGGGCTTTAGGTACACTCCTAAGGGGGACGGAGAGGAGCTGCTGGGCAATCCCACCGAGTATAGGGCTTTGGTGGGAGAATTGAACTATCTGGCGACGAACACGCGGCCTGACATTTCATATGCATTGAGCGTTTTGTCCCGGCATATGGCCGCACCTACGAAGACTGCCATGAACTTAGCAGTCGGCGTTCTGCGTTACCTGGCGGGGACTCGCGAACTAGGATTGCGTTTTGGGGGTGTTGGCGACGTTGCTTTGTCCGGGTACAGTGATTCGGACTGGGCAGGAGACCCAGTTACGCGGCGTTCTACGTCCGGCTACGTTTTCACTCTTAATGGGGCTGCGATTAGCTGGAGCAGCCAACTTCAACGTACTGTGGCGGCTTCGTCGGTGGAGGTTGAGTACCAAGCTACAGCGGCGGCTGTTCGTGAGGCTTTGTGGCTTCGCAAGCTGATGGTTGATTTGGGCTTGCCTGAGAGCGCGGTGAAAATCCAGATAGACTCCCAGGGGGTGCTTAGCTTGGGAATCAACCCAATTACGTCTGCTCGGTCGAAGCACATCGACGTGCAGCATCACATAGTGCGTGAGAGGGTGAATAGCGGTGAGGTGCAGTTGGAATACTGCCCTACGGAGTGGATGGTTGCGGATGTGCTCACAAAGGCTCTGGGCGAGGTGAAGTTCAAACGTTGCCGAGATGCTATGGGCCTTGTGTGAAGTGTGCAGATGAACTTGGTACTCGTTGGGATACGGCCCGAGGGGGCGTGTTGAGGAAACGGTCCTCTCCCAACTCGTGTGGTTGTCGACCAGGGGATTTGACCCCGGGTCTGCGCCTAATAATACTCTTTACATTACTTGTAACATTTTATCGTGCTAAATATCTTCGCCACCGGCAATCCTTCCGGAATAACAATCAGCGTTAGCCGTCACCATCGCCAATTCTTCAATAGTTGCGGCCTTACAAGGCGCCAGCGGATGCGTTGGATTCTTCAACTGTTCGCGACAGTTCTTCTGCACTTTCTAGTCCTGCAGGACCGCCGCCAATTCAGTGGCTGAAGAGCGATCCACTTTACTCAGTCGAGCACATACTGGATTATCGTGCCCGCCGCCTAGGAAGACGCCGTAAGGGGCTGGTGCACGAGTACCTCGTCAAATGGACCGGGTATTCCAATGAACATAATAGCTGCGAGCCAGAGAAAAACTTTACGCCCGACCTTCACCCCGAACTTCAAGCAGTGAAGGCTCGTGCCACTAACACTGCGAGGATGCTGCGTCCTGAGGGGGGATAGTTGTTGTGGCACACTTGCATATTAACCCTCGGATCTTTCCCCAATTCTCTGGCACTTTGCCGCTGGGCAATATCTTCGCTCTTACTTGGTTAACCATTGGGCACTTGCCTATCTTTAATTGGGCGCTGGCCCATCTTTAAGCGGGCACTTGCCTGTCTTTATCACGCATGATACTGGATTATAGCGCTCTTGCTATAATCGTGACACTTGTCACTGGTAGACCCACTTGGGTTACGATTGCACCGATTGGTGATAATTCGCGTTGACGACTATATCTTCGGACCGTACAGACTTCTGTACGGGTCGTCCTAACGCAGAGGCATTTAGCCTCTTCTCATTAATCGGTAGTTTTCACTACCACCTAAACAGTGGAAGTGGATACAACAATTGTCGATAAGGGATAGAAATAACAATCGGATGATAGCTGTCGGTGCTAGTCGGGGCTCATAACCTATTGGAGAATTGGCGACGGTGACGGCTGATGCTGATTGTTATTCCAGAAGGATTACCACCACGACCCGGCCCACACCTGTTGGCCTGTCATCTGCTGGGGCATTTAGGGTGGGTCCCTCTTGCTGCACTGCACCTCCCACTTGGGTGAAAAAGTGTGTGATGGCTAGCTGGTAGGACCTCTGCTGCTGGGGCTGCCCCATCATGGTCTGCACCTGCTGCTGTTGCCGTCGCCAATGCTGCTGCTGTCCCACCATCACTGTCACCCCCACTTGACTC